AAGTTACTTCGAATTACCCGAGGAATCACCCTGTTTCAGCTGTTAACATGATTATGGAACACCATGTATATCGTTCATTGGTTTGGGTAATGTTGCCTCTAGAACGATTCCTCGTCGAGATTTACAAGCGTCGAGATTTACGCCGAGATAACGGCGTGCCGTTCGTTGCGGGCGTCGAAGTCCCCGGCCCAACCATAAAACGCACTATGAACGTGTTTGCCCGGCGAGCAATGCCCGAACAACGTTTCGCGCAACTTTCGCGGCCGAGTTCATTGAATTCCCGTTGCTAAACGATTTGTTGGAGCCTCTTCGACGACGATTCGCCCCGCCGCGAAATTAGCTTTAAATTATTTATTATATTTAAATAGCATAAATTAGCGAAATTAGCGGAGGGCCGTTTTTTTAAATGCGTCCGAAGGATGATCGAACGGATTAATTAATCAGAATTTATACAAAATTTTTGGACGCTCGAACGGATTCGCGTACGAGGGCACGTTTATGGTATTTTCTGTAGCTTAATTATAACAAAAATGCGCTGATTTTTTCAGTCATTTTATCAAGACTCGCGTCTTTTATTTAACCGTTGTTGAAATTACGGGACTCTTTTCTTCTCGGAAACAATCGAATAGACTTTTTAATTCAAGAACACGCTATAATAAAAATAACAAAAGGTCTCAATAAATTCATTTTTGTAATTCTTATAAAGCAACACAGCTTATGTCACTATTCGTCGAAAAGTGTTTAGCGTTATGGTTCCTCGAACGCCATCTTTAACACTAGATCTACAGAACCCGACAAGATGGCGGGTTACTAATTTTGTAGATTACGATTATTCATATCGTGAAGATATATTTACGAGTTATTTGAAAAAATATTACAATAATACTTGTAAAAACCAGAATAAACGTCTTATTTGTTACTTTTACAAGCTAATATAAAACAGCTCCGTAAATCTAGCGTTAAATTAATAAATCCAGTTCATTGTTTCGGAAAGATTTGTTCCGTCGCGAACAAAATGAATCGAATTCAAACGAAATTTTCCTGATCGACGATACGGCGAATCGGAAAATCTGTGAAACGTAAACATTTCCGTGTGAAACGATAAAATCTAACTATACGTATATATATATCCACGCTTCGTTCCCATCGTGCTCCAAGATCAACGCACCCGAACAGGATTAAATTCTGAAACGCGAGAGCAAAGAATAATCGTCGGCCGGCTCGGGTCTGCGACACCTGTCGTAAAACAAGCGATATCTAATGAAATTTAAAGGCTCGACGGGTTCCGCCGCTTTCTCGCGCCGCGGAACGGGATTCTGATATGAAGGAATCGGCCGGGAACGCGTGTGCGCGGCTCGAAAAATTCTCCCCCCGGACCCTTCTAAATGTCAAATCACTTTCTACCGGGGCCTCGCGGGAGGCTCCGGGTCTTGTCTGCGAGATCGCACTTGCGGCCCGTAAAACGGGCCTGCAACGCGGCTGTGAACGCGCGCGAAAAACCACCTGCCTCGACGGGCCAGTTCCTTTCGGACAGTTTCGTAACCGGAACGGAAAGCGTCTGGACGCAACCCGTCACGGAATCCCGTCGCGACCGCTTCCAGGAAACATATTATCCAATTCCTTCCTACGGCGGGTAAATCGGCGCGACAGCTTCTAATCGCTGGACTGCGGGCGCCAATCGCCGGTTCTCTACATTTTTACCGAACTGATCGGCGCCGAAAAAATCGAGCAGTTACTGTCGCTGCGACTGGTTTTGTCTCTGATGCGAATCGCGCCGATTCTTAATGCAATGTTTCGTGAATTCCGGTGTTGAAAGAGAAGGTTAAAATTTCGTCTGAGATCGTCCAAGATCTCTTGAATTCGCTGTTCCGGTCATCGCGGATTGGTGAAACAAGCTTCCAGATTGTTTCGAACTCTAAGCTTGCTTTATTGCATTGTTTCGCGAAATTCAAGAAGGGAAAATCGAGATTCCATTTGGTCCGAAATTTAGGTTACATAGGCGCGATTCGAAGGTAATTTGGAGGCAACAGACGCGATTCGAAGGTAATTCGGAGGCCACATGATACGATTCGAAGGTAATTCGGAGGCAAAAGACGCGATTTGAAGGCAATTCGGAGGCCACATGACACGATTCGAAGGTAATTCGGAGGACACTACATGATTTGAAGGCAATTCGGAGGCTACATGACACGATTCGAAAGCAATTCGGAGATCACAGATACGATTCGAAGGCAATTCAAAGGCCACAGAGATGATTCAAAGACAATTAGGAGGCTACATGACACGATTGAAAAGCCATTCGGAGGCCACATATGCCACGATTCGAAGGCAATTCGGAGGCAACAGACGCGATTCGAAGGTAATTCAGAGGCCAGAGACATGATTCGAAGGCAATTAGAAGGACACTACATGATTTGAAGGCAATTAGAAGGCCACATGACGCGATTCGGTGGCCACAGATGCAATTTGAAGGCAATTCGAAGGCCACAGACACGATTGAAAAGCCATCCGGAGGTCACGTGACACTTCATTTTCGAATTCAATAAACTTCAATTTTCACAACCAACGGACAACTCCGTCGGGCCTTAGAATCGGCTTAACGATAAATCGCAAAGGCGTAGGACCGGCGCAGAGAAATTCACAACAATCCAAAATATGGCATTTCCGGGAGAAATTGCTGTACTAACGAGCAATTACGTCACTCGCGTGGTTACCGCTTTATGCAAATTCCCGTCCCACTGTTTTAAAAAATCACAAGAAAACAAAAATAAAAGTTTCCATCTTAGGGCTCACATTCCGGCGGAGAGCTCGATTCCGGTGGAAGAGGAAACAAGATCCGAAAGGCGGACATTAATATACCCGCAAGCCGTAGATACGTAAAACGATAGGATCCGCGAGGAATTGCGCTCTGAAAGCGGCTCGCCGCGCGGGCGAAAGGGAAACGCGGGAAAACGCGGCGGATTCCGTGGCGGCGCGGCCGCGGCCGCGGCAAACGGCCGTGGAATGCGCTATACGCGATTCGAGATAATCTGGCCCGATCTACAGCCTCCCTCTAAGCACCAGCTAATTGTTTCGGCGCGCAGGAACGCCGTTACGTCGTAACGTAACGCGAACGTAACGCGCGCTCGTCGGCCGAAACGCGCGAGAAAGTCGCCGCGCCGCGCGCGCCTTCTTTCTTCTTGCTTTCTCTTTACGCGTTCTGCGGGTTGCGTAACCAGAGGAGGTGCCCGATCGGGTGTCGCGGGCCCCCGATTCGGCTTTGCCCGGATCATCCGCGGGATCTTTCGATCCGAGGATCGGGCCGGCTCGGTAGATCGGGCGATCGATCCGTCCGTCCGGTGCACCGGTGTCGGCGATCGTTCCGCTCACCTGGCCGATCGAATCTAGTTCTTTTTTTTCCGGGCGGCGCAATCGCCTTGGAATGCTTCCTGAAGACTTTCCAAGGTCTATCGAAAGTTTCGGATAGAGTGGATACATTTCAGAGGCTGCCGGCGCAGCTTGGAACAAGGTCCGCGCAAGCTGGACCGTGAAAGATGATTAATGAATGCGATGGAAAGCGAGGAAACGCGATGATTTATCGTTGTTATTATCATTATTCAGCCGCGGGATGAAGAATATACTTGGAAAACGATACCAAGAGATTATGGATTCGCTGTGGGAGTCGAGAAGACGATGCACCCGATGCTCGGAACGCCTTGGGCCAGGAAAAAAGGTCGAGAGACCGGATCAAATAGAAATGATCTAGCAAGAGCGCGCCAGAGATGATGTCATCGATGACTTCGAACGCAAATGAATTAATTCGAGTACGCTGTGTTCGTGGAGAACGAAGTTGAAACCTTGCGGAGAGATGTCCGGTGCTTTCGAAACGATCGTTCGAGGTCGCGAGGGCCGCGGAAAAAAAAATGGTGAAAATTGTTTAGAAGAGCGTCAAGGTTGAATTAAACGGTCGCATTTCAAGATGCACAGTCTACTAATCGCACGGTCTCGTTACACGATTTCTATTTTCGCTGATACCGTTCTCCCGACGCAGCGTATTTTCTCCCGAGCTCATCGGCTAATTATGATCAGCGCCGTCGTAAACTTCAAGTAACGAGCAACGAACGAACGGATCGGATTCTGGAATGTTTCCATGTCTCTCTTTCTCTCTCTCTCTCTCTTTTTAAGATTTTTCCTGCCGCTGTTTCGCAATCGGCCTCTGTTATCACCGCGGCGTTCTCTCTATCGTCGAAGGTGCAGCCTAACGATCGGCTCGCCGACGGACGTATTTTCGATCGGCAGGAAAGTCGAACGAGGTCGACCGACGGAAATCCACGCAATTGTCCTCGACCGGTCGTTTCCGAGCGTGCGGGATTTCGAAAGAGGATCGCGGCTAATCGTATTCTCCTCTGAGAACCCGCCTATGCAAATCCATATCGAGCCGACTCCGTTGAAAGTGGAATCGGCCGGCGGGACGCTAATCAGCCGAGATCGGGAGAGCCGGCCGTAGAAAGCGGCCCGCCGAAATGCTCGCCTAAACCGATCCCGGCCACTGACTTTTATATTTATAATATTTATTATTACTATTTATGTTATATTATATTGCGATTATATTGTATTGCAATTATATTGTATTGCAATTATATTGTATTGCAATTATATTATATTGCTATTATATTATATAGCAATTATATTATATAGCAATTATATTATATTGCAATTATATTATATTGCAATTATATTATATAGCAATTATATTATATTGCTATTATATTATATAGCAATTATATTATATTGCTATTATATTATATTGCAATTATATTATATTGCTATTATATTATATAGCAATTATATTATATAGCAATTATATTATATAGCAATTATATTATATTGCAATTATATTATATTGCAATTATATTATATAGCAATTATATTATATTGCTATTATATTATATAGCAATTATATTATATTGCAATTATATTATATTGCTATTATATTATACTGCTATTATATTATATTATAATTATAATTATAATTATTATTATTATTATTGTCATTACATTTATTTCTGACTTTATTCGGCAATCCAACGTGACATACGTTAACATGCCACAACGTCGTCCTTGATTGGGACGACGAGAGAGAAATCACTGGAAACAGAAAGTGACGAGAGCTCAAGGGTAATGGCGATCGTTGAACGGGACGTGCTACTACTACGCGCGGCAGAGAGAAAAAACCCCCCCGGGGGGGGAAAAAAGTAAACAGAAATATAATGGCGTACGAACGGTGCAAGGGAGTGCAACAGAGTGCAACAGAGAGTGCGATAGAGTGTAGACAACGGCCACGGAAGCCTCTCGGCCGAACAATTCGAAACGCGAACGGTTTGTGGCTACTTACGATCATAATTGCGATCCCGCCGGTTGCCGCTCGTGACTCGGTTACGAAAGGCGCGGGGTGGATATCGAGGCTGAACCGCGTTTGTTTGTACAATTCTTATGTAGGATCGGCTTTTACTTTCGTGCTAGACCGCCCGGACTTTCCTTTCTCTCTCCGGCCGACTTATGCTTGCTTTTCGTGGAAAAGTTCTTTCTTTCCGCGCGCCACGATCGCCGGAAACGGCTGTCCACCGCCATCGGAACGGCTGTCGTGTGAATCGCTGACAGGGTTTGTTTTCTCGTTTCAGGGGTGCCAAACGGTGTCGCTGCTGCTCGCCCTGAGCGTTATGCTCGCGTCGATACACCAGGGTGAGTATTACACTTCGACATTGGAATTTAATCATTTGAACGCTATTGCGGATTCATCATCCATCGCCGGGTTCAACGCGCCGACGATCGAATTCCTTTTCTCTCGCAACGCCTGCGCGAACTATAGTAAATTCTTCCTAATCGACGCTCGACTTGAACGCAAAAAATATGGAGAGGATTATTCGAGGCTCGCGGTTCGTTTTTTATCATTCTTGATAATAGCCGAACGCGATAGAAACGAGCCGCGAGGCTCGAACAATCGAGTCGCAAGGTTAGCGCCGCGAAAGAATGGCCCATTTACTCTGTGACCGAGTCTCTCTCGGCGTCCCCCGTAATTTCTCTAGCGCGCGGCCGGTGCATACGATGCACGCGGTGCACGTGAGGACCGGCGATGCACGCGCAGATGCACTTATCACTGCGTGTTCCGTTCCGATCGGTGAAACGCGGTCATGCGCACGCACAAACACCGTTCCCGGTGAAAACCGAACACGGCGAGCATCTACTGGAGCACCGAAGCGAACGCGCGGGCCTTTCGATGAGATTCCGGTCGAATCGGGGGCCCGAGGAGGTTCGAGAAGGTCCGAGGAGGTCCGAGGAGGTCCAAGAAGGTCCGAGAAGGTCCGAGAAGGTCGAAGAAGGTCCGAGAAGATCCGAGAAGGTCCGAGAAGGTCCAAGGAGATCCAAGAAGGTCGGAGGAAGTCTGAGGAGGTCCAAGAAGGTCCGAGAAGGTCTGAGACGGTCCGAGGAGGTCCAAGAAGGTCCGAGAAGGTCCGAGGAGGTTCAAAAAGATCCGAGGAGGTCCGAGAAGGTCCGAGAAGGTCCGAGAAGATCCGAGGAGGTCCGAGGGGAGAGCCAGCAGAAGGGAGCTACGGAATCGTCGAAAGTAATATAGTAATGTCTCTCTAATTGACGCTCAGATTGTCCACAAAAGAGGACAATTTGGGAAAAGCAGATACGATTGTTCGAGCCTTGTAGCTCGTTTTTCTATAGTGGTCGAAAATTTGTAACTGTAAAAATGAACCGCAAGGCTCGAATAATCGTATCTCCTCTTCCCAAATTGTCCAGTTTCCTGCACAATCTGAGCGTCAATTAGGGAGACATTACCGTATATCGTAAGCGTGAAAAGACTGGCGATCGTGCGATCTTTAAGGCGATCGTGCGATCTTTGTAGCGATCGTAAGATCTTTAAAGCGATCGTAAGATCTTTAAGACGATTGTGAGATCTTTAAGACGATCGTTCCCGCCGCGTGTTTCTATCATCGCGTCTCGTAATCGATACTGCAACCGTTTCCGGGATCTGAGAAAAAACACCGCCATAATTGACGCAATCCGTCGGCCGGCTAAAGGTGAGATCGTGATCTACGAGCGGGAACGCCCTACCAGCGGAGAGAATTTTCTCGTTGAAATCTTGTTTCGCTCTCCCGCGATCAATCGGTTCCCATAGATCAGGGTCAATTTAGCGCGGAATCTACAATTCGTGCCGAATCCTGGAAACGTTTCAGGCTCGAGTTGCAGCGAGAAATAGGACATCGGATCGAAAATTAACGCTAAAAACTGTCGCCGCTGGCCGAAATCACGATGTCATCGATTCAAGCGCACGCTGTAACATAAACGGAGATAGTTCTCGATAAATTTAGAGCTTCGTTAGGTTACTTTTTCAACATCCTTTCGGTTCGTGGACCCTAATCAAGTCGGGGATATAGAGCAGATCAGGGAAAAAATTAATTTTCATATCTCAGAAAGTTATTCTGAGAAATTATGTTAATATTTATATTATAATATTGAAATTAATTTTTATATTAATATTTAATTAATATTTATATTATATAATTATATTAATATTAATTTTATTATATTTATATATATATATTATTATACATATTATATAATAATAATTATTAATAAATAAAAATATAACATAATAAAAAAATAATATATTATATTATTATACAATATATTTATATTGTATATATTATATATATATATTATAATTTATTATATTTATATTAATTACACATATGAGATCGGAGTCAATTCGCACGACTTCGGGGACCGTTCGGGGCCCGGAAGAAAATCGGGACTTGCGAGGAAGCTAAAAACAGTTCTTTAGATCCATTCGGTTCCGCGTAAACGATTTTACAGTGACGAAAGAAAAGAGCAACGACAGATCGCCGGGAAGAATGAGATCGTCTTCGTAGATCAGGGTCAATTCGTGGAATCCCAGCGAAATCCGGGCCCAAGCAGAATTCACGACTCGCGGAGATACTGGAAAATAGATCACGAGATCCGACCAATCCCGAGGAAGCGAACACAGAATCCTGAAAGAGGGGGGGGGGGTAGATTCGGAGCAATCGATGAATTAGAAACGGTCCCCGAGAGGAAGGGAATAATCGTCCGCGTAATTATGCGATAATTCTAGGTTCTCAGGGAACGACGCGCCTCTTACCGATACTATCTGCGTCGTTATGCGCCGCCTTCGGCCGCATTAGGGTCGGCGCAACGCGAAACTATGCGGTGAAAGAGAGAATCGTCGTCGCACCTTCGCGCCGCAGCCGCGTTTCCGTCGAATCGTCGCTCGCTCGCACGCGGGGACCTGTGCGCGGGTCATTCATGCCGCTCGTGGAAAAAACGAGCGTTCGTTTTTCTGTTTTTTTTTGTGCGCGCGCGCGCACGCACGCGGGAAAAATCGAACGGTGCTTTCTAGGCAATTATGAAACTTCGTTCGTGACTCGAGGCCGATTTAGAACAGCGCGGCCGATCGTGGAAGCGAATCGACGGGGACTAATGAGTGGATAAGAATCGCTTTAATTGACCTGCTGCCGTGTGTCGCGAGCTGGCTGCCTTCCGATCACCTGGCTCATTCATCCGAGACCTGACGGCACGTATTAGAAAACCGTGAATCCGACGAGAACGCGACGCGTGGAAACGGAGCGACCAGATTGGACGAATCGGCGAATTTAGACGGAACCGCGAAGTTATTATTATTATTATTATTATTATTATTATTATTATTATTATTATTATTATTTATTAGTGGGCTGGAAGCCCTTTGAATAGGCAATAATTTATAACCAGTTAGATGTTGCAATCTCTTTGAAAAGCGTGCAATTATTCTGTATATGTTCGAATTTTTTCATACTTTGTTTAAGTAAAATACTTTTATAATATATACGAGCTGATAAAGAATATGAAAGCATATATGAATCTATGAAAATAAAACATTATTGTCGATCTAGTGATCGCTGATAAATTCCTACGATTTTCTTCACGTTTTTTAAAAATAAAACGCTTTCATAAAATATACGATTTAATAAAGAATATAAAAGCATATGCGATCCCACAAAAATAAAACATTATTGTCGATCGAATAATCGCTGATAAATCCCTACGATTTTCTTCATATTTTTTAAAAATAAAACGCTTTCATAAAATATACGATTTAATAAAGAATATAAAAGCATATGCGAACCCACAAAAATAAAACATTATCGTCGATCGAGTGATCGATTCCTACGTGGGCGGTCTGGATCGCGGCCGATCTTAATTCCGGACCCGATTTTCGCATTGTGTCTCGCGTCGACCTCGATTCGCTCGATCATCGGTGAAAGCACGCGGGGTGACTTCTCGAGGATCGAAAGCGATCGCGGAGATCCACGCGCTAAAATAAAAGAGAAACCTGCACCGCGCTCGCGTTAGCGCGCGGCACGCGTGCTAATTGATCGCGGAGTTGTTGCAACTCCTTAATTCGGATCTCGGAAGAACAATCGGCTCGAGACATATTAAAACCCGGCCGCGATTTATTCCCTCGCGAGGATAGATAGGAGAAAATGTTGTGCGCCGGCAAGAAAATTACGAGCGAGCGAGCGATCGATCGATCGCCGAGAGCCTTTCAGCAGAGGAAATTCGTGGGAAAGTTCAAGGAACGGGTTTCAGTTTCTCCGAGGGCGACAGGTGGTTGAACGATCGATTCGCCGCACAATTGTTCGGCGAGAAACGTTCGATGGCCAAAATTCGATTCCTTAAAAGAGCATTGGAAAGTATCGGAAAAGTATGTTTCGCTGTACAGTAATGTCTCCCTTACTGACGCTCAGATTGTCCACTAAAATGGATGAGGAGATACGATTATTCGAGCCTCGCGACTCGTTTTTATAATTGTGGATAAATTTATAACCATAAAAATAAACCGCAAGGCTCGAATAATCGTATCACCTCTAAGCGTCAATTAGGGAGACTTCACTGCACAGTAATGTCTCCCTTACTGACGCTCAGACTAAAATGGATAATTTGGGAAGAGGAGATACGATTATTCGAGCCTCGCGACTCGTTTTTATAATTGTGAACAATTTATAACTATAAAAATAAACCGCAAGGCTCGAATAATCGTATCTCCTCTTCCCAAATTGTCCATTTTTCTGCGCAATCTGGGCGTCAATTAGAGAGACATCACCGTATTAATTTCTCTACAAACCGGAATATAAAAACTTGCAGAAAAGAAATATTTATTAACAAATACCAGGTCAACTGAATTTTTCGAATGGTAATATACATAACTTCTTGACTCGATGAGATATTCTACCCGGTGTCGAGACGAATTCAGCGACCTTCTACATACATATAGTACAGTCGCCCACAAAAGTGTTCGTGCACCTTTTAAGACGCGATCACTTTTTTAAAAATGGACCAAGTGACTCGAATTTGTCTCAGATGATAGCGAGACTAGTCTGTGCAAAAGATGTGCAAAAGATTAATTTAATTTGTTATAATTCACGACATTGTTACAACGTCAACTGATTTCGATAAAATTTTCAGCATAATTTACTAAGACGTACGAAAGGCATTGTTTAAATTTCTGTTATATTCTCGGATAAAGAAGTTAAAAAACGAGAGTCTCTTATCTTTTTTAATCATCTCAAGTAATTAAACAAAGGCATTTTAGTCATCATTTAGTCCCTCTATCACCTAAAAACGATTCAAGTCATTTAATCGAGTTTGAAAAAAGTTATTACGTTTCAGAAGGTGTGCGAATACTTTCGTAGGGCACTGTACAATCCCCGAAGCGGCGGTAAAATAATTTTGGTCGCATAAATCGAATATCCAGACCACCATAGTAGACTCATAAGCCGAATCGCGGCTTTCTCGCGAGATCGCTGCACAGGTTGACGCAACGAAATCGGATTACAGGCGACGCCGATCGCAAGATCGTCTGCTACTACACGAACTGGTCGATCTACAGGCCGGGCACGGCCAAGTTCTCGCCGCAGAACATCAATCCGTACCTCTGCACCCATCTGATCTACGCGTTCGGCGGGTTCACCAAGGACAACGCTCTGAAGCCGTTCGACAAGTACCAAGACATCGAGAAAGGTAGAGAGAGAGTTCCCCGGCCTTGAAAATCCCGACCTTGACAAAGCGACTGTCCGACGATCAACCGTGTCGCGAATGTTCAAGGTGGCTACGCGAAGTTCACCGGTTTGAAGACCTACAACAAGAACCTGAAGACCTTGCTGGCGATCGGCGGCTGGAACGAGGGCTCCAGCCGATTCTCGCCGATGGTCGCCGACCCGGACCGCCGCCGCGAGTTCGTCAAGAACTCCGTCAAGTTCCTCAGGAAGAACCACTTCGACGGCTTGGACCTCGACTGGGAGTATCCGGCCTTCAGGGACGGCGGGAAGCCGAGGGACAGGGACAACTATGCCAGTCTGGTGCAGGTAGGGCGCTTTCGCGCGAGAGGAACGTTCGCCGAGCGCAACGACGAACGTTGTTTTTTTTTCCTTTTTCGTTGCAGGAACTCAGAGAGGAGTTCGAGAAGGAGTCCTCGAAGACCGGACGGCCGAGGCTGTTGCTGTCTCTGGCGATGCCGGCGGGCATCGAGTACATCGACAAAGGCTACGACGTGCCCCGGTTGAACGATTACCTGGACTTCATCAACCTGCTGTCGTACGACTATCATTCGTCGTACGAGCCCGCCGTCAACCATCATTCGCCGTTGTATCCGTTGGAGGAGGACAACGAGTACAACTATGACAGCGAATTGACGATCGTAAGTCTCCCTAAAAAGCAGTCGGATCGGCTTTTAATTAATCAATTGATTGCTCGAGATTGCTCTTAATCCTTTCAAAAAAATTGGAATGTTCGCTTAGCATATTTTTATCACATAATAATGCAGGTGTTATTCGATTTTCTGCTATTTGGAATTTTTCATCCCTTAAAATCAGGGATGGTGGGACCTATTATTATAAATTATTGTACAAGCGAGAAATAAGGGGTTCTTGAGGCCATTTGGAGTAATTTTTTCCTTTACAAAAATTTTCTCCGAGGCTTCGTTCACGAGTTATTCACGAAAAATACTGGCCAATGAGAGGCAAGCTTACTAGACGGTAGGCGGCCGTACAGTGGTAGGCGGCCGAGCCAATCAGCGGACCTCACCTACGACCGCTGGTTGGCTCGGCCGCCCTGCGTCAGCTGATCTCGCTTCCCGTTGGCCAGTGTTTTTCGTTAATAACTCGTAAACGAAGCGGCGGATTGCAATTTCACAAAGGAAAAAGTTGCTTCAAATAACCTCAGGAACCCCTCATTACCCGCTTGTACAATAATTCTGGGACACCGTGTATACAGTTTGCAGCACATTTCAATGCAGAGAATAATTGATCTTGATGTCCATGTGCGCGCTAAAAGCGAGCGAGAAGCTTAGTTTCTAGTGCCTATTAAAGGGTTAAGGGTGCACCGCGTAGCGAAACCTAACGTTCTACAGGACTCTTCGGCAATTAATTCAGCATTGACCGACGAATTTCTAGGACTACACGATCAACCACCTGATGAAGAAGGGAGCCTCGCCGGAGAAGATCATCCTCGGGATCCCGACTTACGGTAGATCGTACACGCTGTTCAATCAGGACGCGACGGAATTAGGTTCGCCAGCCGACGGCCCTGGCACCGAAGGGGACGCTACTCGGGAGAAGGGCTACCTCGCTTACTACGAGGTCGGGACAAGTTTTCCCAAAGGAAATTTCAGAAGCATTTGATCCCAAAAGCTGGCTGAAAATCGACCGAAAAAATCCTGTGCAAAATCGCTTCCCAAAATAGCCCCCTTCATTCCCGGACTACAAGGCATTTTCGGGACACACTGTGTATACAATTTAATTACCAAATAAATTCGCGAACGCGAGTAAAACAATTTCGGCCAGCTTTCGAGACCAAATGTCTTTCCACGTAATCGCGGAAATTTCTTCAACATCGCCATCGATCCTCAGATCTGCGACAGCCTGTCGCGTTCGGACGACTGGGAGGTGGTGCAGCCTAACCCGAAGGCGATGGGCCCGTACGCGTTCAAGGAGGACCAGTGGGTCGGCTTCGACGACGAGGACATCGTGAAGCTGAAGGCGAAGTACGCGAACGAGAAGAACCTCGGCGGCATCATGTTCTGGACGATCGACAACGACGACTTCCGGGGCAAATGCCACGAGCGACCCTACCCGTTGATAGAGGCCGCCAAGGAGACCCTTCTGACCGACACCACGTAAGGAATCCGACTCGTCGGTCTCGATCTTCTGGGCCGCGATCTCGCTAAACGTTTCTTCTCGTCACGTAAACAGGAACGCGGTGCAGAAGTCGAAGCCGTTGGACAGCCGCAAAAAGCCGCGTCTTCCAGCGATCCAGAGCAACTCCGTGGCCAGGCGACACGGTACCAACGGCAGAAGAAGTACCACGACGGCGGCGCCGTTGTCGAAGAAACGCGTCGCACCGCCGAGGCCGAAGTTCAGGAGCTATGCCAGAACGAAGACGAGCAAAGAGGAGGAGGAGGAGGAGGACCAGGGAGTAGACAGGCGGTCCTACAGCCAGTCTTCCGACGAGGAGGACGACTCTGACGGAGGCAACGTGGTCAAGACGGCGGAGAAGAACGACAGGTCGAGGGAGAAGACGAAGAGCAGGCCGAAGATAAGAAGTTCGAGCCGGAACCGCAGGAAACAGAATCGTCGCAAGGAGGAGAAGAACGACTCGGAGGAGGCGCCTTTCAGCAACAAACTTACCACCCCCGAGCCGCCGACCACGCCCGATCCTGGCAGCGGTGAGTGCATTCATCGTTTACTCGATGTAGAAAAATGTCTCGGAATCTGGAAGAAGGAGATTCCTGGGGTCGTTTGAAGCAACTTTCTCCTTTGCGAAAATTCAATCCGCGGCTTCGTTTACGAGTTATTCACGAAAAACAGTGACTAATCGCGGAGCGAGTGCGGCCGACGCTCCGCCCTCGGGACCACCGCCGCTGCGCTGGACACCGACGCGTCGCGGCATTGGCCACGAGGGCGGAGCGCCGGCCGCGCTCGCTCTCCGATTGGTCACCGTTTTTCGTGAATAACTCGTAAACGAAGCTGCGGATTGAAATTTCGCTAAGGAAAAAGTTGCTTAGAATGACCACAGGAACCCATCATTTCTCGCTATAGCGATTTCAAGCCGTTAATCCGTTCGCCGGCGAATTGAAACAGATTTCAAGTGCGAGGACGAGGGATTCTTCCCGCATCCGCGGGACTGCAAGAAGTACTTCTGGTGCCTGGACAGCGGACCGAGCGGCCTCGGCGTGGTCGCGCATCAGTTCACCTGTCCTTCTGGTAAGTTCGACCTACGTTCTCCGCGATTTCTCTAATCGATCTAATCGCGTCGGTCTGGCCGCGTTCGCGCAGGTCTGGTGTTCAACAAGGCCGCGGATTCGTGCGACTACCCGCGGAACGTGGTCTGCCCGAAGTCGAAGACGTCGCAGGGCGCCGCGTCGACGACCAGGGCGCCGATTACGGCAGCGACGAGCCGCACCACCTATCTCTACAGCACGACGAGAAAGCCGACCACCGAGAAGCCCGAGGACGAGGAGGAGTACGACGAGGAGTACGAGGACGAGGACGAGCTCGAAGAGGAGGAACAGTCGGAGGAGAGGAAGGAGCCCAGCACGAGCACCACCCCGAAGCCGTTGCTCTACAAGACCATTACCAGGAGCAAGCTCAGCACTACCACGACGACCACTACGACGACCTCGGCGCCCCAGGTGACCAGGAAGTCCGAGGGCCACGAAGAGTCGGCCAAGATCCTCGACACCGAGGACGAGGAGGACCCCAAGGTGATCAAGGAGCTGATCAAGCTCATCAAGAAAGCGGGAGGCATCGAGGAGCTGGAGAAGCAGCTGTACCTGCAGGCCAAAGGCGCAGGCGAGACGAGCGTGGACACCGAGCGGGCCACTCCGGCTACCATCAGCCGCAGCCTCTACGAAAGGGTGCTGAGTCGACAAAACGCCAAGGTCACGAGCAGAACCAGCGGAGCGACCAATTATGCGAACGGACCGGGCGGCGCGCAGTTCGAGGGCTTGGACGAGGTTCCCGAAGTGAGGAGCTTGAGGAGGTTCCAGAAGCCTCAGTACGTGACCATCGAGAGGCCTAGGTGAGTTTATGCGGTACAGTATCGTTTATTATAGTTTATATCGAGGGATCTTTAGTCACGGTTACGATCACGATGATATTTGTGCGATATTAAAAATCATCCAAGTGGATCGTGAGAAGCGTGAGACAACATTTTGAAATGTTGTCTTCGCTCTTGCACTCGTTTCAGTATAGAGAACGTAATGTTATCTTCGAATTGCTTGCCAATGACTTCGCAGTTTCGTATTTGACCTAATCGTTCTCCTCGGATATCCATAAAATCTGCAGTTCAATCGTGACTGCGCGCGTTCGTCCGCGTTATCTCGACTCGAGCTACTTTCTCTCGAACGGCGTTGAGTGCTTTCGAGTTTGCTTTTTGCTTTTAAAGGCTTGTACGGTTTCTACCGTTGTCCATGATATTCGGTCGGTGTTGATTTAACCCCTTGACATACAATTACGTGTTGGGCTCGTCATTCGTTTCGTGCGCCACTGTAGACTTCGACGAATAATAAAATATATAAAAATAAAACATTCCCTTTCTCAGCTTGCGCGTAATTGTATTTGTTTAAAATAAACATAAATTAAATAGTATCTCTTTCGGACGCGTCGAATTCCGTTTTACTTGTATTTTACCGTAAAATCAATTATGGTTATTTCAACAATCTCAACAGGAAATTTCTTTCATATAAATGAATATAATATAATTTCTTTCGTATAAGTTGACAGATCTCGAAAAATATTTCACTTCCAGTTTTAGAAGTATGAATACAATGCAACTGCTTGCCTGGTACAACGGCATTGCATAAAATCTTTTCGTATAGATTTCTATACTTTCTTTTCTATACTCTTTTCTATACTTTTTAGTATAGATAAATATAGTAACAAAAATATAGACAAATAACGATAAATAAAAAATCAGAAATAAATCGGTTTTTCCTTAGTAATGCATCATTAACAGTCGCCTTGATAAATCGCGAGTTATCTCTTGATTGACGTGTCAACTCGTTTGTAAATAAATAAATAGAGTAACGATGCTAACGACCCGCTTTTTGGGCACAGACTCTCCACGAAGGAGCCACCGGTCGAAGAGGACGAAGACGACGCGGAGAACGACGAGCTCGAGGAGGACACCGCGGACGTGGCGTCCTCCGAGGAACAGACCGTCAGCAACCCGTTCCTGGCCAGCTCGATCCAAAGGGCGACTCCTAATTACATAAACATCAGACGGGCGCGACCCTCGACCACGACGTCCAGGTGAGCAAACGATTCGACGTAGAACAGAATAGCAACGAAGATTCGCCAGTCTAAGTTCGCGTCGCTTTCAGAAACGAGAACGACGTAGCGGCGAAGGACGAGGAAGAAGAGGAGCCGCCACTTCGTTCTAGACGACCCACGACCTCTTCAAAGTAGGTACCAGTCGACGATGACCGGGAAGAAACGCCCCGAAGAATTGAAAATCAAGTTACGAATCGAGTTCAAATTAAGTCGAAAATTAAGCTAAAATGTGCAGTTGCATGTTGCGTGAGCGCCGATGCACTTACGAACGAAATGGAACAACAGGATGATAGAGCTTGTTAAAAAGTGTAAAATTATTCTTCGAAACTTTTCCTAAATAATCTTGACATAACCTTGACATAGCCTGAAACAAAGCTCCAGCTCGGACCAGTCACTAGAATCGCCCTGTACATGCAGAATGTCCCGAAAATGTCTCGCAATCCGAACATAGAGATTACCGAGGTCATTCTAAGCAACTTTCTCCTTAACGAAATTTCAATCCGTAGCTTCGTTTACGAGTTATTCACGAAAAACGGTGACCAATCGGAGAGCGAGCGCGGCCGGCGCTCCGCCCCCGTGGCCAATGCCGCGTCGCGTCGGCCGTCTAGCGCAGCGACGCTCTCTCTAGGGCGGAGCGTCAGCCGCACTCGCTCCCCGATTGGTCGCCGTTTTTCGTTAATAACTCGTAAACGAAGCCTCGGGTTGAATTTTCGCAAAGGAGAAAGTTGCTCCAAACGACCCCAGGAACCCTCCATTACCATAATCCGAGACATTTTCGGGGCACCGTGTACAAATGAACGAAAATTCCAGAAGCACCGAGGGCAACGCGTCGGAGGACAAGGCGGAAGATTCCCGGACCTCGAACGAAGAGAACCCAACCACGAAGTCAAGGTCCTGACACGCGCACCACTTAGTCCGCATCGAAGTTCTACGGTTCTAACGAGAGAACGAAAACGTTTCGCAGGTACGTCAGCATCCAGAGGTTCCGTAGCACGACCTCGAGGCCAGCGACGGAGGTTTCGGAGGCCTCGACGAGCCCGGCGCCGGTGACGCGAGCGGCTCCGATCGAGAAGGACGAAGAGAAGCTGCAAACCAGCACCGCCGCGCCGACGAGCAGCTCTTCGACAACGATAGCGACCACCGCGTCGAGCAACGTGGCCGTGGACGAGGACACGGAGAGATCGACGACGAAAACGGTCCTCGAATCGACGAGCATCTCGACGACGGAGGCGGTGCGACTGGTCGAAGAATCTGCGACGGAGATCCTGCTGACCACCGCTCCGGCCGGGCTGTCGGTGACGGTGTCTCAGGCGTCGTCGACGCTGCCGTCGACGCTGCCATCGACGCTGCCGTCGACGCTGGCAATACCAAGCTCGAGGAGCAGCGCAGCGACGGTGGCTCAACCGAGGCCGTTCGGGCACAGCCGGCGCACCAGGCCGACCACGGAGTCGCCGACCACCCCGCTGCCGGGGTCAAAGGTGAGTATAGCCTCGCGAAACCCCGCGCGCCCGGCCTTTCTGGCGGGAAGAGGTCGCTCGAGGTCGAAGCAGGAGGGCACCGGTCGCGGCGAGCCGGTGGCCGAAAGCGAGGGTCCTCCACGAGGGGCCGGCGAGGACGTAGGTAGGCCCGGCCGGTCGAGGCAGAGGGGCACGAGCAGGTACACGCCGCCCACGTTCAAGTCCAAGGCCGAGGAGCCGTCGAACTCGTTGGTCAGGGAGCGGGCGAGAGCCCCGGGCCCGGAGAGCACGCCGGAACCCTCCAGGCGACGGTGGCGGAGGCCGATCTNCGAGCGCGGCCGGCGCTCCGCCCCCGTGGCCAATGCCGCGTCGCGTCGGCCGTCTAGCGCAGCGACGCTCTCTCTAGGGCGGAGCGTCAGCCGCACTCGCTCCCCGATTGGTCGCCGTTTTTCGTTAATAACTCGTAAACGAAGCCTCGGGTTGAATTTTCGCAAAGGAGAAAGTTGCTCCAAACGACCCCAGGAACCCTCCATTACCATAATCCGAGACATTTTCGGGGCACCGTGTACAAATGAACGAAAATTCCAGAAGCACCGAGGGCAACGCGTCGGAGGACAAGGCGGAAGATTCCCGGACCTCGAACGAAGAGAACCCAACCACGAAGTCAAGGTCCTGACACGCGCACCACTTAGTCCGCATCGAAGTTCTACGGTTCTAACGAGAGAACGAAAACGTTTCGCAGGTACGTCAGCATCCAGAGGTTCCGTAGCACGACCTCGAGGCCAGCGACGGAGGTTTCGGAGGCCTCGACGAGCCCGGCGCCGGTGACGCGAGCGGCTCCGATCGAGAAGGACGAAGAGAAGCTGCAAACCAGCACCGCCGCGCCGACGAGCAGCTCTTCGACAACGATAGCGACCACCGCGTCGAGCAACGTGGCCGTGGACGAGGACACGGAGAGATCGACGACGAAAACGGTCCTCGAATCGACGAGCATCTCGACGACGGAGGCGGTGCGACTGGTCGAAGAATCTGCGACGGAGATCCTGCTGACCACCGCTCCGGCCGGGCTGTCGGTGACGGTGTCTCAGGCGTCGTCGACGCTGCCGTCGACGCTGCCATCGACGCTGCCGTCGACGCTGGCAATACCAAGCTCGAGGAGCAGCGCAGCGACGGTGGCTCAACCGAGGCCGTTCGGGCACAGCCGGCGCACCAGGCCGACCACGGAGTCGCCGACCACCCCGCTGCCGGGGTCAAAGGTGAGTATAGCCTCGCGAAACCCCGCGCGCCCGGCCTTTCTGGCGGGAAGAGGTCGCTCGAGGTCGAAGCAGGAGGGCACCGGTCGCGGCGAGCCGGTGGCCGAAAGCGAGGGTCCTCCACGAGGGGCCGGCGAGGACGTAGGTAGGCCCGGCCGGTCGAGGCAGAGGGGCACGAGCAGGTACACGCCGCCCACGTTCAAGTCCAAGGCCGAGGAGCCGTCGAACTCGTTGGTCAGGGAGCGGGCGAGAGCCCCGGGCCCGGAGAGCACGCCGGAACCCTCCAGGCGACGGTGGCGGAGGCCGATCTCGCGCGCGGTCACCGAGCACACGAAGGGCAACGAGCTCGAGGACAGTCCCGTGATCAGGATCACGCAGGCAACGCCGAAGAGGATCCCCTCCAAGTCGCGAAGCGTGACCAAGCAGGCGGAGGAGGAGGAGGAGGGGGAGGAGGACAAGGTGACGAACATAAAAGTGTTCAAGAAACCTGCCGCGAGCAGGGACGTCTACGCCAGGACCAGGTACACCAGGAAGAGGAACCAAGAGGAAGCTGGCAAGCCGACCAGCAGGGAGGTACCGACCAGCACGACGACCTTGAAGATCGAAGAGGAGATCCCCAACGACGCGACCACGGAGGAGCCGCAAACTTCGACGAATGTTCCTTCGGAGGACGAGGCGACGACCGTCGAGACCAACACCGTCGAATCGTCGATCGCGCCCACGGAATCGATAGTGGAGAACGAAGTGGTCACTGTTACCGAGAGCCAATCGCAAGCCCCGACTACGATCAAGGCCGTTGACCCGGACGTCGTGAAGATCGTGTTCAAGAACGCGAGCGAAGAGAACGCGAGCAACTCGTTGCCGAGGAGAAGGAAGGTGCTGTTGAGGAAGAGGCCGGTGACCTCGACCACCGTGTCGCACGAGGACGAAGAGGAGCAGCCGCTGCCGCGAAGGAGGAAGGTGATCAGACGTCTTCGGGTCCATCAGAACGTCAGCACGCCCGCGGAGCCCGCTACCACCGAGGACAACGATCGGATAGTCCTCAGGTTCACGACCCCGAAAGAAGCTGACACGACGCTGGAAGAGGACACCGAAGAGAGCACCTCCACGGAAAGTCTTTCCCCGTCGACGACGGAGACTGTCGGGACGATAGGCTACACTTTCAGCTACTTCGACGCCGACTTTCTAAACTCCGACGCCGCCACGATGGCCTCGACCCTGCTCGACAACTTCACCGTCGCCACCAACGACGGCGAAGCTCTCACGGAGGAGTCGACGACCTCGCCGACAACCTTCTCGACCGGTTCCACGGACGCCGGCAACGGCCTGGACGAGACGACGGCCAGCGATCAGCCCGAGGCCGCGCCGACGGTGGCCTTGACGACGACCTCGCTGGCTCCGCAGAGCAGCCGACGGCTGGAGTCGTACAACAAGACCTACTACCAGGAATCCAGATTCATCAGGAAGAAGTTCGTGCGCAGAAGACCGGTCGACTCCTCGGAGAACGTCGGCGCCGCGAGGCGGGTGTCTTCGACGACCGAGGCGAGCAACCCCGAAGCGTCGAAGCGCCGTAAGAGTCTGTTCATCCGTCGCAGACCGGTGTCCTCGACGACCGCCAGGACTACCCAGACGATCGAGGAACGGCCGGAAGAGGAGACGGACTTGGCGTTGGAGGTGGAGGACGCGTCCTTGGAGGCGACTCCGCGGTCGAATCGAGCCAACGTCCGGCCGGTCTTCGAGATCAATCTGCAGAGCCACGGGGACTCGAACGAGTTCTGGAGCAGATTCACCACCCCGTCGCAGTCGACCGGTCACCTGTCCCCGTTCTCGATAGCACTGGAAGACGAGGCGCTTTCGACCGGAAGCGAGGAGGTCTACCGGTCCACGCCGAGCAACAACCGCAAGCCGGAATCCCGGCCCAGGTACAGGGTGCCGGAGTCCTTGAGGCGGACCATCAGCACCGAGGGGTCCTACCTCGTCGACTCCTCGCCGGAGGAGTCCGGGGAGAGCAACGACTCGAAGCTCGGCTACCAGAGCTACCGGCAGCCGAGGACTCGCGGCAAACTCTACGAAGAGGAGCCAGCGCCGGACGCCACTCAGTCGCCCAGCTTCGACTCTTCGGCGCACGTGAGGACAAGGTTCTACGCGCGGAGGCCCAATCTCGGCACCACCACCACCGAGTCCCCGGTCACCGAGACCCTGATCCCGGCGAAGAAGTTCGACTACGTGGCGGACGCTCACAGAAGGCAGCAGTCCCTGCGGACCACCCCGAGGAGCAACGCCGAGGATCGCGGGGAGAACCTAGTGGACGCGGACTACACGACCACCCCGTCTTTGCAGCCGCTGGTCACCAGGCTGGTGACTTCGGTCGAAGAGTCGGCCACCACCGAGAGGCAGAAGATCCTCATCAAGACCAAGTACTCGTCCTTGACGTCCACCACGAGGATACCGGTGCAGACCACCGCGTCCACAGTGCCCGAGGCCTCGGCGAGAACCACCGGCGATCCTTCCGACGACGAGTCGGCGAACGAGATCCGGCAGGGCCAGGTCGAGAGGTCGACGCTGCCCATCGAGGGCGAGTTTCTTCACCGAGCCGGCGGCGGCCGACTGACCACCGAGTCCCACGAGTCGTCGACCATCGAGATCGAGTCTGTCTTCAGCAACTTGATCGCCGGCAGGGAGCAATGAGCCCCTTGCCAGCCCCCGCGAGCATCATTCATCCCATCGATATCAAATGTACATACGCTAGCGTCCATCTTCTCGTCATCCACACCGCACAGGATCATCATGTTCGACTTCCGTTTCATAGAAGAGGCCGGCGGCACGTTTCTTCGAGTTTGTTCCGCCTTGGCTCCGCCGTTCGTCTTCTCGCCGCTTCATCGATCCACGTTCTCTCGAGAGTTCAGTAGCAAAAGAGGACGCACGTGCGCCGATACGAAGGAAAGCGCCGGCTTTCTCTTATTTTCTCTCTCCGCCTCTTCTCCTCCAGGACGGAGACCGCCGGGGACGGCGCAGCGCGCAGAGATAGAGAGGGAATCGAGGGAATGATCCGGGAGGATCGCGTGATTAAGCGTGCTGCCTTCTTCTGATTTTCAGGTCGCCGGCTCGGAGGCAATTAGACTGCCGACCCTGAAGGAACTGATCGGTCCTCGGACCGTCGACCGGCCAGAGAATGGCTCGCCCGTGCACTTGAGCTTGTTCGACAGAGCGGCGAGCCACGTTCTCGAGGGAGGCGACGCTCGCGACCTTCCGCGGGAGGTCGAAGCGCCCGATGGCCCGGGTTACGAAACAGACGCCTGGATATTGGCCAAGGCGAGACAGGCCGAGCTGGACCCGTTCGAGGACAAGGTGCGTTTGTATTACGACGATGAGAATAGCGCGGACGACGCGGAGTCCTCTCTGGCCAGCAAGAAGAGGATCGACCGCGAAGACTCCACCACCACCATCACCACCACCACGATTAGGCCGACCACCATGCGCGGCGCCCCTTTGACTCTGCCGCCCAAGGACCAGGCCCCGCGCGGCTTCTACGTCACCAGAAGCGAAACCGAAAGCAGCGTCGCCGAGACCGACGCCTTCGCCACCGAGCCGACCACCTTGTCCTTCGAAGTGGACGCGACGAGTTCGAGGACCGAAGCGACCGCGTTGCGTCGTCGGACAACCTCGAGGCCGACCGCTCAAAGTCCTGCCGACCGCGCGACGAAGCAAACGGTCAGGGTCACCGGCAAGCATAGACACAGAGTGAACGCGACGACCCCGAGATCAACCAGCGAATCGTCCGCTACGCCAACGATTCCGAAAGCACCGTCCCCGAAGACGCTCCCTCCGACTCTAGCTGCAACATCGACCGTCGAATCGACCATAGATCCCACCACCGTATTCGAGCCAGCTGCCACGATCGGACCGCCGAACGATCTCTCCTCCTCGAGCACCGAAAGAGAACAGACACCCGCCGAGACAGAAGACACTGCGACCGAAGCGTCAACAGATACTCCGGTTACTCCGAAAGAACCCGAAGAGTCCACGGCGAGAGAACAGTCGACGGACGCGCAGACTACCTTGGCGATCGCCACGACACCGGCGGCAACTACGACGACGAGCACGGAGAAACCTGGCCCGCCGGCTCGCGGCACGCGGAGGTTCAATTCGCACGAGTTTGGCCGCCGAGGTCACCGAGATAAATCGAAAACGCCGATTGAAGAGAACCTGGTGAAGCCGAAGAGAACCCAGCAACGTCGTTTGTACAGAGGACGTCACCGGAGGCCCCTGGACTCGGTCCCCGAAGAGTCCGCCGCCAAGGACTCGAGGAACGGGTCCTCGAAGAATGCCGAAGAACAGGTCGGGGTCGAGGATAATGTCGGTCGAAGCGAACCTGAGGTCAGTGTATAGTTAGTTGGGCGTAGGGGCGAGAGCGAGCGGGAGGGAGAGGGAGAGAGAGAGAACGACCTTGTAACCAAACCTCGTAGACCTAACTTTTGCTCGCCCATTCTTTCCGCCTAATCAACCGGCAGCTGGGACCGTAGAACAGCACCGTCCACGACCTCCGCTATTCGCTGACTAATCGAAAACGTGATCGAACGGACCGAGCACGAGGATTATGCGCATTCATGGCTTTTCTTTCCCGGGCCTCGCCTAACAGTACCAATGGGATGCGTTCGCCATGTCTTCGACGACGATTAACCGGAGAGCTCGCGTCATAACCTCCAGGAAGAATGGTTTATTATGTTGAGAGAAAGGGAAAGAGAGAGAGAGCGAGAGAGCGAGAACGAGAGAGAGAGAGAGATTGTTGCACGGAGGAGACTCTCGACGGGGACCTGCCTCTCGCCGCCATGCCTGCCTGCATATCTTCATCTACCTGCTGACGTTTTATTATTTCTCTCTACTTCTCCGGCCAATTAACACAAACTCTTCCTATCGCAAGAGGCGCGCGTCGCACGTTATCGCGCGCCCACCCTAAGCTTGTCATTGTCTCTCTACGCCCTATGGTACCGTACTCCCTGTTTGCGTCTGTGATCTTTAATCTGTCTCTCGTAAGCGACGTGTGTTCGCTCGTGGCCGACGGATTAACTCGTCGGTTCACCGGCTCACGTTTTCTCTTCTAGGGTAGCTCGCTGTTCGAGATTAGGTAACGCTTAGCAAACGAACCTGTGTCGCCTCGCTTCGTCTCTAATCAGTATCCTTCTGCGCCTAGTCACTCACGCAAACGAAATGGCGATCCTCTTGAACCGATTTGTCTGTCCATCTTTTTCAACATTCTTGTACCGTCGTCACGTTCGAATACCTGAAATTATTAATTTTTATTCGTTGTTTTCGTACCTTTCGCTATTGAGAATAAAACAAAAAAAGGACGACCGGAGATTCCGTTGAATCTCAAATTGAATCGAAAGGGTCCGCCATTTTGTGACGAGGAATCTTGTTCTTCCGTCAACGTTCGTAGATCTTGTTCTTGAGACTGCAAAAAATGATTCGTGAGAAACGCTAATTTACTGTGTCGCGTAAAGACGAACTAGAAATCGTATAGAATTTTTATCACAGTTTGTTGCTTCTAAAAAGTCCAACACGTTTAGTTGGATGCTTTTAAAACGTTAGTTGTAACGTCACTGGTGAACGAACGCGTGGCGCCACCTGTCGAGGGGCGGCCGAACTATTAAGCAACCAAAGAAAGTCATTTTAAATTCGCATCAGTTTGCCGCCGAAACAGCTGACGACACGCCGTAACCAAACCACTTTATATCGCGAAAAAAGGAGCGTAAGACTCTTCGAATCTTAGAATAAGTATGTTTTTGTTGCTTTCGACGTCCCAAACGTCCGTGTTTGCATCTAATACACTCGAATCTCATGCTATCTCTTATGCCACCGTCACGTTGCTAAGACAACGAATTTACGAAAAAATCACTCACCATTCCGGCTGTGTTGGCACCGAATACAATCTGCATGTGCTCCGCGAACAGGTGAATTCCACCAGGAGCACGGTAGGCCCCCTTCGAACACCGGGAAGCCCGTCGTCGAACAGGTTCAGGAAACCAACCGGATTCACGTTGGCGCCGTCGCGAAATAAGCCACAGAACGCGATCACCAATCCCCGAGGCAACAGTCCAACGGACGGAGTCGATAAAATCGGTAAGTAAACCAATTCGAAGTCAAAGAAGATCCGCGCACGTCAAGTGAATTGCGTAGAATAAGCGACAGAACGAACCTGCGCAACAATCCCTTTCCGTCTGCGCGAACCGGTTCCTGAAACGTTCAGTTCAAATTATATAAAACAGAAACTTCCTTTTAAAGATTTATTTCGCGAAAAACGGAAAACGGGACAAATGCAATTTTCTACACACGTGATTATCAATTATCGTAGAATAACGTCTAATTATCACCGAACACCGAGTTAACACCGAACAGTGTTTGTAACTTCGTCGCGCGTAGAAAACCAGCTGCGCAGAAGAAGCTGCGCGGTGGGCCTGTGCGACGAGCTCTCCTTTTCTGCGCGAACTGACGCGCGAAAGGATTCTCAATTCGAATTCTGTAAAACAAAAATGTGTCTGTTTAAAAGGTTTTCTCATAGAAATTTTAGTGCACGCGTTGGTTAACAGTTGTGGAATACTATGGTACAATTGTTGCAGGTGTCACGGAGAACGTATCGGAAACGGCGAGACCGGAAAAAGATATCGATCAGAGTAGTCGTGCACAGGAGATCGCGGTGACCTTGGCGGAACCACCGCTGCCGCAGACACCAGCCACCGGTACACTGAGCTTGTTAACTACACCGCCAACCGACTTCTTAATCTACCTAGCTAAATGATCATACGTGAAGGCTCATAGATCATTCGGTGCATAACTTCTCATCGCATTCGCAACACCTTCGACTTATATCGCGCGCCATTTTCTCTGTCACGGCAGTCTGTTGTCATCGAGGCTCTTATCTCTGTCATCGGAACCCTCGACACGCGACTGAGGTTCTCATTAAACGAACAACCACTAATCACTCTCTTTATCTTCATTCGAAGAGGTACCTAATTCTCGGGAATCTGTCGGGGAGCTAACCTATTGGTCCATCGAGTCGCTGGTTCCATCACTACATCATCGTCTTTTCTCGATAGTGCCTTCTCTATCTAGAACTCTCTGTCGCTCTCGCTCTTTCTTTTGCTCTCTGTCTCTTTTTCTCTCTCGCTCACTCTTCTTCATACACCGTGCTCAGTACTAATACAACCATAACTCGTGCGCACACATCGATACTCTCTTCTTCTGCCGGCGACGTCCTGTCGTCGACCGGCAACTTCGGTTCTTCGTGGTGCTAACGCATCATCAGCTAACGGGCCTTCCTCTAGTCTCTATCTTTCGAGCTTAGAACAGAATAATTGAATCGGGTTCCACAATCAGGTCGACCGTCGTTAAGGGACGCCCTAAGGCGCAGGATAAGCACTACGCTAGCACCTAGAACAGATTCGACGACACCTAGGACCGCCGTCAGCTTTGCCGTGACTCTTAAAGACCGACAGAGGCCGAAGACGCAGGACAGGCCGAAACAAAACACGACGAGCAGACCTAGACGACCGCAGGTGATCGACTACGATTATTACGAGGACGAGGAAGAATCGGTGGTCGGCAAATCCACCTTCAACGGAAAGCTGCTCCTTACGAATCAGGGCAGCATTCGGTGCCTGGACCAGGGCAACTTCCCCCATCCCTACTCGTGCAAAAAGTTCATTGTCTGCGCTAGAATGCAAAACGGTCTGGTGATCGGTGCCGAGTATACCTGTCCTGACAAGCTGTCCTATGATCCTGTCGGCGGGATCTGCAATTGGTCCGCGGGGCTCGGTTGCAAGGAGTAAACGAGTAAACAAACATAAAGATTCTTTTTGCCGATCAATGAACCATTGAATATCGCGATCACAGATCAGGCGTAAGAGTAGATCAATCACACAGTCTGCTTTATCGACGATTAAAAGCGATTCGTCGCGCCCTCTATATAGTCCGCAACGAAGAATTCCGAAAGTATCGATTTCTGCCAGCAGTGGCGCTACGGTGCAATGCCAGCCGGTAAGGTTGTGACACGCGAATCATAATGGCATTAGGTGATTGATCTATTCCCATACATTGTCCGTGGTGCAATAACATTGAGAAGAGATAGCAAGGAAAATGGTAAAAATGGTACGCTTCGGAACGAGCCAGCCATAATCGATGGAAGAGCGGTGATATTATCGTTTAAAAGCATCCTCGTGTAAATATTCTCGAGTTATTGTATATACGTAGGCTTAGTCGAGGAACGGGCTCGATCGAGTCTAGAATTTGATTGTTCGAAAAAATTTGCTCCCCGAGTCTCTCTACGAAAGATCGATCGAGGCGTTCGCCCGCGCCAATTCGCGCGCCACGACGAAATTCTTCTTTTTCTATTTCGAATAAAAGCATCGTTTAATCACAACACAATGTCGGATAAGTTTATTCCAGCCAAGTCCTTCGTTGCGACCACCTTTCTCTCCATCTCCTCTCTCTCTCTCTCTCTCTCTCCCTTAAACCACTTTCCCTTTTGGTTTTCTTATTTCTCCTTTTTATTTGTTTTCCTCGTATTTTGACTTTACAATATCTATCGAACCAGTTCGGTAAGTGGAGACAGGCAAAACAAGATTTTCCGATTCGACCGACGTGTCGGAAGTTTGAAATCGGAAGAATCGCGAATTGTAAGCGTACATGATCGATCGATGAGAATATGTACCACGTGTGCATTTTGCAGAACGAGATCTCTTTTTCTTTTCTTTTTCCGTTTTCTTTTCCAGCCGTACACCTACTTACATCCATACATACTATATGTACGCATTTTTTTCCGATTTATTACATTTTGATAAACGTCAATATGTTTTTCATTCTCTGTGTACGGGATTAATTAACGAGTGTGCGTATGTGTTTCCATGTTTTTGTGTGTGTACATGTTGGTGTTTGTGTGTCGAAATGTATACTGTTCGGTTTGAGTTTCTTTTATGCTCTTCTTTGTTTCCCTTCTGTTTCGATGAATTGTCCCTGAACGAAAGTGTAGATGCGAGAAAATTAAGAAAGAACTCTCAAAACGCGTTAAGATAGACAATGAGTAAAGCGTTAAGCCTCAAGCGAAACAAAAAAATGGTTACAGTATACTTGTTTCCCTTTTCTCTCGAATAAAATAATTGCATTTCACACACGAGCATTTCTTTTTTTTTTTAATGATCTTACAATAATAATAGTAGTAATTATAGTAGTAGTAGTAATGATTTGGACGACAATGATTCGACTAAATGATCGATTCTCGTTTTCCCCTTTTCTTTTTTTGTTAAGCTGCTGCTAGTGTAGGACTCGTAGACTCTAGATACACATGACGCGAGTAATGGCAGCTGCTGCGATTGGAAGAGTTTTCACAGTAACAGGTCCTATATGTATATTACAGTGGCCGTTTCGTATGGTATCACTTCTCCCAAATATTTATAAAAATAAATACCTCGAAAAAAAGTGGCGTTCGTTTCGCTACCGTGATTAATTATATCGGAACAATAATAAATAAATCATTTAATTCAAATAAATAAATAAATTTGCTTTCTTTAGCATCGTTTCGCGTTTCTCTATCATTTATAATGTAATGATCTCCTTCGCGAAGTATAAGGGCGGCGGGTAGTATCGTCGTCTCGTTTAAAAAATTCGTGTTCGCCGCGTATTATTCATTATATAAAAAAATATGAACGTTATGTTCGATTTTTTTTTTCGAGCGTGTTTACAATGTTTTCTGGCTCCTTAGCGAGAAAGTCGATTCGTACGTGTTTGCAAGGATTACCAAAAAAAGTTCGTTACTTGTTTGTATCGTTAGTGTCCGTAATTTATACACATACGTCATACATAATGAAATTTGTATCGTTCTTTTTATGTTCTTTTTTTTTCTCTTGCGATAACGCGAACCTCGATTTGTACCTTACGTTTTCAGTTACATAACGCCTCCCGACTGTATCGAAAAAAAAAGGTAAAGAAACAGAACTATGTGCGACCCGCAGGAACACGCGTAGGAACTGTACTTCGAGCACGATTACAACAATTAATTCAGTTCGACACGTCGAAGGGGTTCTTTTACCTTGAACTAAAACATCTTGTTCTCCGCTCGAACGAAATTTCTACGATACGTAAGGCTACAAGATCAACGTCGGCGTCGATCGGACGCGTCGCGAATCATTCGATCGCGTCCTTGCTCCTTGTTATCCCAATTTCCTTTTAGTTCTCCCTCGTCTCATTAAATATAATATTCATTTTCGGCACAGCTTCGTTGGTTCCCTCTCCCGGAACCCAAGATTTTTAGTATTTCCGTTATTGGTACTCGTGACTTCTCTCTTGGTTGGGGGACATTTATATACAATCGAAGAGTTTACTTATTAATTATAGGATTCGTCGTAGACATTAGGCAAGAAGCGGGCTCGTTCTAGGCGAGCCTATTGCGTTCGATCACGCAGTGTCCTTTGAACACACAATGGGCTACTCGGGGAAGGACATTTATTGTCACTGTACAGACTTTTACTTTCAAGCGGCTTTTCCGCCTGACATTGAGCGCATCACGACGATTCTCGCCTCGTGTCTAGGGGGCGATCATCCTAGGAAAATATCGGTGTATCAAAATTTCTCGATATGACTGCCCTCGGGTGTCCCATCGCGTTCAAACAACATCGTGAGTAAAAAATCTCGTTCGAACGCACATTTAAACTATTCGATGAGCCCCTTCCTTTTCGAAACGCTTCGAATGTCGTACCGCGCTCTCTTTCTTTTTCTTCTAAACGATGGTTCTCCTTGAGGACGCGCTAACTTATTTCTGACTTTGTAGAGGTGCGTTCGAGTACCAAAAATCCGTAGAGCAAACTTTCGCGGGTTGTCGTTCGACTTGCTGTTCAACTGGGAATCGTCCGAAAACATGTTCTCTTCAGTTGCATTTGATATGTATAATTTACAGATCGGATTCGCCGTACAAAGCGGTGGAGAACGAACGGTAATCCAACGCGCCGGGCATGGCGTTCGGTCCTTTGTAAGGCGGCATTCTCTGAATGCAGTATTCGGCCTGGTCGGGCGGTAGTTCTCTCCTCAGTTCGTCCGCCATGATGTACGGCTGCAACAATTACGCCATGTATACAATGGAATAAACATGTAAACAAAAGTACAGTAGACTGTGAGCGTTAAAATTGCGTAGAGTAGCAGAACTACTGTTAGAGATATAGAAACCTTGTCTCCGGCGAGAATACGGAAGCTATCGATGACTTGTTCAGCAGTGTCGGTGTCCGTAGACTCGCGCGTCATGAAGTCCAGGAACGCGTCGAACTGCACGTAGCCAGAGTTGTTCGGGTCGACGATGGCCAGAATACGCTGGAAGTCGATGTCACCTTGCCTATCCTTTCCAATCGAGTAGCCCAAAGACACAAGGCAGGACTTGAATTCTTCAGGAGCCAATCGTCCCGTTCGGTTCTTGTCGAAGTGATTAAAACTGCTGCGGAATTCATTTAGCTGCTCTTGCGTAATACCCTGCAGAACACAAAACATGAAGTAACCCGGCCTTTAACATTTGAGGATCAAACAAGAACAACAAACAACCTTTGAGTCTCTGGTGAGGATCTGATTCTCGACTTCGTTGATGTTGCGGTTTATCGAAGTCAACAGCTGCTCCCAACCGACTCGCAACGTTTCCATTGTGTACTGAGTGTAGCGGTTCTCGAAGATCATGCCTTCTTGTACAGCTTGGTGAATCTTCTCCAATTCCTCGAGATGAGCCTTGTACTGGTAGACTGCTTGTTCATATTCCTTCAGACGATGCAACTGATCCTCAAGGGTTCCCTGAAGAATCCAATTGCAACTTAGGGTACGGTATCGAAGGGAATACTTTCGAGATAGTGACAAAGGCGAATGCTCACCTGGAGACCGAGACCAATAGCTGTAACAGCGTCCAACTGGCGTTCTATCCATGGACCAACGGCGTTCGCCTTCTCAGCAAACTGTCGTCGAAGCAATTCATTGTCTATTCAATTCGATTAAGGAAACTTGCAATTTATATTTCCTACTGATTTCATCTTGGTATAAAAAGGATACTCTGCTGCTTGCGAAGTTCTGCTTGCAGTGTACCGTCACGCTGTGGAACGAGTTGCCTGACGTCGCTCCATTTCTTCGTGAGGTCCTGCGATCAGTAACGTACAAATGACAACGAGTCCTCGGTAGAATCTTAAAAGCTGAAAATTCTAGCAAGCTCTGTTTACCAATGCGGTGAGGGTCGTGTACGGATTCTCCAGACCTCCAGGGATCTGGAACTGTTTGACTATGGACTCGACCTCACGGACAAGTCCCACGATCGAGTTGTATTCTTTATCAGCTTCTCCGAGAGTCGCCTTGAAAGCTGCGTGAGCATCCATTAGGCCCTGGATCTCTTCCATCGTGTGAACGATGAACATGTCAACCAGATCTTCCCTAGTTCCATCCAGCCAATTGTTGAATGGCTATACAAAGAACCGAATTAAATACTAAACCAATATCTTTTCAAACTAATTATTTTCAAGCGGATCACTTACAGCAGCACGCTTAGCAAACTCGAGGTGCAGCACGTCGATCTTTTCCAGAATACGCTCGGCCTCGTCCAGTGCTTGACGTCTGCGTTGAGTTAGGGTGCCCAAACGATCCCACTGATCGCAGATTCGCTGACACCTAGCGTTAACGGACGCGCTGTCGTGGTATTCTAAGGTGCTAAACAGAAATATCGACACCCCAATGAACATCCGATTCATAAAAATATGATTATTCATGTATTTCCGAAGGTATTACTTAAGTTCTTGTGCGATAGCAGCTATCTGTTCGACGCGGTCTTGATGAGCCGCGAGGTCGGACTCGAAGGCCTCGTGTTTCTTCTTCAAAGCTTTCAGCTCGTTCAGCTTGCACTGTCGGAAGTGCTGCGACGTCAACATCTCCTCCTTGCCCGCGGTCCACTCTTCATGGGCGTCTGCTTTGTGCTTGAACTTCTGGGCAAGGTGCTCCAGACGCTCGAGCCGCATCATCTCCGACAGTAACCATTCTTCAAACGACTTCTCTGCCAGCTCCAGTCCTACAATAGGTCACATATTAATTCGAGTATCAATTGCTAGAACCTAAACGTTTCTCTAGATTCTCTGGACTCGATCTGATAGTTCCTAGGTCGACTGTTCACCTTTCCAGGCCTTGTTGATGTCAGACACCATCTTCCCCTCTGTCGGCATGTACGCGGGCCGATTGCTCAACCTCAGCTTCGTCTGCAGCGTATTGAAGTTCGTTTCGAGTTTAGCCTTTTGCTCGACGCGCGGCGGCTTATGCTTGCGTCGGTACGTTCTATACTCTTCCAGCTTCTTCTGGCAGCCGGCGAGAGAGTTGTCGGTCTGACGGCTGGCCAGCCATGGCATTGTTCGTCGAATCCATTCCAAAAGGTCGGAAGCCAGCCGCTCGTATTCCTCCATCAACCTCTCGTTCTCCTGGTTGACCTTCAGGACCTTGCAGATCCTGTTCGCGGCCGTCTCCGCCTATCGCACAGAACAACGTTAGCATTGTGAAAGAAGGTCCCGCTGATATACCCTGCTGCTGAGAAATCTACTGCTTCCTCCTTTTCTGTCGAAGGGCAAGAAGAGTCTTCTGAACGGCAGAGTATAATCGTGGCAGAAGCGTACGCAGAACATGAAGAAGATAGCGCTCTGTAGTTACTGGTTAATGTCGGATGCAAAACACACACCTTCTGCGCGCCGCTAAAACAGTGGTAGTAGGAGGACACGTAGGTCATCACAGCCCTCTCGTCAGGCATTGCTGTGTTTCGCATATCTAGAAAACACACATTCAAAGGAGGCTCAAACCATGCGGTGTTAGCTGGTGTCAGTTGTCTGAAAACACGATTCGATCTTCGACAGAGAAGAAGGTTCTGGTGCGTGGAGAGTTTTACGCGAGTCTAACGAGTGCCACTACTTGGGTACAGTGAACTCGTCGAACGAAGTAACGTCGATGCAAGTCGGACAAATTCTCGGCTTAGGGTGTTACAAAGTAATCACGGGTCAATGGTCAATGATCAGGGTGTTAGAGAGTGAGTTAAAAAACGGTGTGAAGGGGCTCGTGCACCTTGCGATCGACGGCGCAACTGATTTGATCCTCACTGAGATAGAATTCCTAGGTGTCGATCGATCTCAACGCCCACAAGCCCCTTACGAAGGTAGAGAGGTATCTCGGTAACGAAAAGTTAGGGGAACACGCATTTCTTTCCGCTGACCTGCTGAGCACCTTGGAACGCGTGGTAGTAGCAGGACACATACGTCATGATCGCACGCTCGTCCGGCTTGGGTGTGTTGATCAAATCTATACGATATCAATGGAACAATGCATTAAAGGATTTGAACGATCCAGCGGCGAGAGCTTGATCCAGCACCCGGGCTAACGAACTTAGAGGATCTAACTTTGCCTAGCTTAGATGATCGACCGGGCAAATGAGCGTGTACAGAAAAATTGAAGAGAAGCATTGGCACGCTCAGTTTTTCAGTAAATTAACTCTCGCATAACGAATGCTTCCGACTATAAAATATCGCAGTCGTGACTCGGTTTATACAAATCTGTATGCAATTCATTCTATAATATCATCGAACGAACTTCTCTAAGATCAACGTTGATCTTCTTATCGAACCAAACACAAATAGCCCACGATTTAGGATCCAAGTGCCGCTATGCGAGGTTTAATACAACCCAACGCGTTTCGTTAGCACACGATGTTACAGTTGACGGTGCCAATGCTTCTTTCATCGGTTTCACGTTGAACTAGTGTTCAAGCAACCGGATAGATTGAGCAACGTATTTACCATCGGGATCTAACATGCGAGGAATGTCGAGATACTTTTCAGCAACATCGAAGGCAGTGTTCAGATTCTCTAGAGGATTATCCTTGCTAAGCTTATTGTAATCGATAAGGTCGGGACGATGACGATGGATAAGAGCGCAGAACGCCAGCCCGTCCTTGAACGACAGATGGAAGTTCTGCACGTTGACGTTCTTGTACGGCGCGGTCTTCCGCTGACACCACAACAGCAGGCCCTCTTTCGCGGTCATCTCCTCCACGGAGATGTCTTGGATCGCGAACCGCAGAATTATGGTCCAGATCATGCCGAGAGTCATCTTCAGGTTGCCGTCCACGATTTCTAAAAAAAAAAAAGAATAGATCCTGCATTAGCCTTTGGTGACTCGGAGCAGCCACGACCGTGGTCGTCGTTGGGATCGCAAGGGTAGCTAGAAGAATACCAACCCTCTGCTCCGATCGAGACCAATTTAACTCCCTTGCTGGCGATGTAGTCCAGCGCTTTGTTCACGTTCGCGATCTTGTGGAACCGCATCTTGCCCCGGTCAGGCCTCGGCAGGGTTTCGCCTGAGATCACCTCGAGCAGCAGCATCAGCTTCAGCCCGTTCCTGAAGTCGTCCTCGATCGATTCGATGGCAGTCCCGGCTTTTCGTAGGTGCGAGTTACACCAGGCTGTGAATGTCTGCGAACAATAAATCGTTGCTCATCAAATACCGCTGATTTTATTTATCGATCGCCGAGTCAATCGTTACTTAGGACACGCATCTTACTAACCCTTTGCCACCCCTGAGATCGGCTCTATGTCTCCCTATCTTCTACCAACAGTGAAATTGTATCGCGCGCACGGGATTAGTGTACGATTAATTTTCCAATTAATTTGCCATCGGTTCGCAAATCCGCCTTCACGTTCTAGCATCGTCGACAACGCTGTCGAGGGCTAAATTCAACCGGGAAAATACGGGACGTAAGGATCTGCTTTGGCATTGCGAGAAAATTCACGTTTAATGATGTCATAAATCGACGGGTCGTCGACTGTTTTGCAATGCAAATGCCTCGTACATCAGGCCTGACGAAAATCTTCGTGCGCGGCTGATATATTTTCTGGTAATTTCCGCAGAAAAGACCGCGAAAGAGATCGCGACGTTGGGACAGAAGGCTCTCTCTTCCCCTCTCTCTCCCTCGCTCATGCGGCAAGGTTCGATTAAATAACACCGACACCCGACAGAACTTTATGACCAAGAAGAATTTAAAATGGGGAATTGAGCTTGACTGCTGCTTAGTGTATATTTTAGTAACGACCCCGATCCCACCTGCTATATATATCCCCTGTCCTGGTTCTTCTTAAACCGTGCTTCCTATCGCTCGGACCGAAGAATTTCGAACCCTTCGTATCGCCGAATGTGAACCGATCAACGATAACGCGTGCCGAGCAAATGATAACGCGGCGCGGGATCTCGCCGATACGATACAACACGGTTGGATAAAAGTCATTATTGGGATAGGTAATCGAATCTTGAAACGGGCGAACGATCTCACGAAAAATCGACGCTTCTTTCCGCGAAAGAAATTCACGATTACTGTTACAGTAATGTCTCCCTTACTGACGCTTGAGTTGTGTACAGAAATGGACAATTTGGGAAGAGTAGATACGATGACCATAAAAAAAACGAGCAACAAGGCTCGAACAATCGTTATCTTCTCTTCCAAAACTGTCCATTTTTGTGGACAATCCGAGCGTCGATTAGAGAGACATTAGAAGAGTAATTTAGATCGCGTGGTCGGTTGAACATAAAACGAATTGTCGCGCGAAGAAGCGGCGAGGAGCCTCGTTGATTCGTGGCGACGACGAATCCACGAGGGAATCGCGGAAGATTGATTAAATCGCGACCGATTTAGTCGTCAAAATGGCGGCGTGGAGCGGGTCGGGGACGCGTGAAAAATTCGGGATCGCCGGTCCGCGAATTCTTTTTCTTTTCTCTTTTTTTTCTCTCGCTCTCTCGCTCTCTCGCGATGTCTGCACACCGGAGGGAGAGACGACGGAGAAAAATATTGGGTGAAATTTAATACGGGCGGCGTGAAGCGCGACCGGCCAAAATTGGACATGAGCCACCTTAACTTCTACGAGACCGCTCTAAGATCTATTTGTAAAACATCGACTCCTCCCGCGCCGGGCGGCCGAGCATCTCGAAAACATCCTGCACGATCGTTCAGGGGCCCGATTACACCTCGCCACAATCTCACCCACAACGATTTATTATCTTGCGAAACCGATTCCACGGCGAACACGACGCTCCAGCGATGATGTGAAAATCCGTGGACGCGCTTCCGTAACAACCATAACGAGCTTTCGGCGAGCATGTACTGTTAATGTCTCTCTAATTGACGCTATTACTATTATCTACAAAAATGGACAATTTCGGTAGAGAAGATACGATTATTCGAGCATTTTGGCTTGTTTTTATATTTATCGGCAATTGGTAACTATAAAAACGAGCTGCAACGCTCGAACAATCGTATCGCCTCTTCCCAAATTGTCCATTTCTGTGGACAATCTGAGCGTCAGTAGGGGAGACACTGCCACTTTGAAAAGCAGATTCTGAAAAGCAGATTCTGAAAAAAGCAGATTCTTTGAAAAGCTTGATTCTGCCACTTTGAAAAGCATCAACGATAACAGAAAATCTCGAAGACAGCCTTCGACGTCTGTTGGCAACGATCTAACGTTATTAACGCTATTTAATATCGCGCGAGGCTCGTTACTAACTATGAACGTTACTCGCTTCGAGCGATCGCAATTAACCCCTTGCCGTACCATTTTCTTCCCAGTTACGACGACTAGAAGTTTCTCGATTAAAATAATTTCTTAGAAGAAGAAGAAAATTCGTATTTATCGTGCGCCTTCATTTCTTTGAATATTCAAATATTGCAGAGAAAAGAACAGGATTTCAGTCGAACTTAAAACTCGTACTTAACAGGTTATTACTAGAAATCTTCATTACGAGTTATACGTTACACGTTAAAGTACGGCAAGGGGTTAATTTCAAAAATAAATAAAATTTATTAAGTAAAAATTTAATAAAAATTATTTTTATAAAATAAATAAATTTGCGAAATAAATCGGAATTTTCTCTCTCCCACAGGAATTGATCTACAAGAAATGATCACCGTAACTGGAGAAGATTGCGATGCAATGGTTCGCGGTAATTAAACGAATTCATGGGATCGCCTGCACCGTCCGCCACCGCAATCTCTCATTTTGTCAAGGTAAAATCACGCAGCAGTCAATTTTTACTCTTTTCTTTTTTTATACGAAACGCTCCCGTCGACGATCAAGATGAAATCGATCCTCCGCCGATACACGAGCAGCCTTGATTTTTATTATTTCGCCGAGTCGCGTCGATCGGTTTTCGTGCGACCAGCCGCGACGAGGCTCTCCGACGTCGGTGGAAAGAATTGCCTGGCGCAGCATAAATTCGCGAGATCGAATGAATTTTGCTGATAGAAAAATCCGGCGACCGATCCGGAAGAGCGGCCGGTAGCGGGCGATCCGCGACGATCGCGTTTCCCGCTGCGCGAAGCGCGGTGTTTCTGCTCCGAAAATACGCTTCGCGGGAATCCACCGCTTGTCCCGTTCCGAACAACGCGGTTTCTGCCGGCGGCGGAACAGTGTTCACGGCCGGATTATGTACCGACTTTGATGTCTACAGCCTACTACTCCAACTGTGAAAATAACAGGTTACGTAACGATCCTAACAGTGAAGTTATCAAACTTCGGATTGTGCAATTGCGCTCTCGGTCGTGCGGATTCGAAAGATTCGTAACAACGGAGTTCACGGCGTTGTTCGTCGCCGGATTACAGCGATGTCTCTCGAATTGACGCCGAGATTGTCCAGAAAAATGGACAATTTGGGAAGAGAAGATACGATTGTTCGAGCCTTGCGGTTCGTTTTTATAGTTACAATTCGTTTGATGTTCAACCGACCACGCAATCTAATTACTCTTCTAATGTCTCTCTAATCGACGCTCAGATTGTCCACGAAAATGGACAATTTTGGAAGAGAAGATAACGATTGTTCGAGCCTTGTTGCTCCTTTTTTTATGGTTATCGATTGTCAAAAAACTATAGGAACGAGCTGCGGGACTCGAATAATCGTATCTCCTCTTCCCAAATTGTCCATTTTTGTGTACGATCTGAGCGTCAGTTAAAGAGACATTACTGTATTACTTTCGACGGTTCCGTAGCCCCCTTCTGCTTTCTGTCCCCTCGAACCTCCTCGGGCCCCGCGGGACCCCAATTCGACCGGAATCTCAGACATTACTGTACAATGAAATGTGACAGGAACTGATAGAAAGACCGGTAGAATAAAGGATGGGACACGCGAGAGGCGAAGCGGAAGACGATATTGCATAGCGAAACGCGTAAGAGCGAAGTTCAGCAGAAAAAGTCCGCGTTATCAGATCCATTGTTACCGAGCGAATTCGTGAGAAAACTCTTTCGATAAAACAACGAGAAGATTAGCCGTTCCATCGAGCAAAAAAACGAATCTCCATTGTATAAACCAGCGACTGTTGCACCAACCGCCCCGGCGCCGAGTCGTCTTCCCCGTCAAAAGGGGTTGATTAAGGTGTAAGCAGCCCGAGGCTGGATATCATCCGCGGCGAATTAGCCGGCGCTATCATCGCCGCGGAGCCTCGCGCAGTGTTCTATCTGTTTCGGTTAATTAAATGAATTAAACATGAAAATTTCGAGCGGAGCACGCGAGAAGATGGACGCGGCGCGTCGAAGAGGGTGCTAAAGGGTTCAACCGTCCTACCCACCTGCCCGTTGGCAACACCTGCCACCTCCCCACGCCCCCTTTTTTCGTACATTTCGCTACGGCGCGAGTCGATCGAGCTTTCGCAACAACGAAACACGGTTTTCCGACTTCGACGCGCGAGAGAGAATTCCGAGGGAATTCGCGAGCGTCGTCGGTGCGTCCAATTTACCGTGACGAACGATCGTTGCGAATTCGACGATTTATCGATAACGGCATGTACGTAGAAAGGAAATCGGTAAAGACGGCCGTGGGCCAGAAACGGCCTGGTAGACCGCACGCTAAACGGTTCTCGTAAATACGGCTTACGGCCGCCTTGTCGCAACATTGTTGCGTCTTGCCGTGTCCGACTGTATCGTGTCTCGTGCCAATCCCGCCGCGACGACGCGACGCCTCGGAGGATCACGATTCATGCGGCGGATCCTCTTTCCGATCCGTTGTATGTATGCATGTTGTATTTCAGGGAGAAGACGAGAGAGGAGGCGGGAGCTCTCGAACGCGCGCCGCTAATTAGACGGCCGCGATGATCCGAGGCGGCCGTAACTCGTCTTTCCAACCGTGACCGAGTCGTTCGAATTTTCGGCGAGGATTCGGGCGAGAGCTGAAGAGAGCGGAAGAGAAGCGTTCTCGAGAAAAGAGTCGGTGAAAGCTATGGGCAGTACGCGAAGCCGCTGAGCGGCCAGTTGGTAATCAAAATCCGCGCCGAATCATCCCCCATGAAGGGGATGATCATCCCCCATGAAGGACGGGTCCATTCTGTCGCGGCGAAAACAGCTGATCGGCGTTTCCGCTGCGAGCAGCTGTCCGACGATCGTCGTATCGATATCCTGGTGATATCGTTCGAAGAATCGCGCGGACGATCCGGAGAGGA